CATTTTCATAAAAGATATTCCTCTGCCAAAGAAATTTTAGAATAACAGTTTAATTTTAGTAACTCAAATGTATTTGAAAACCATGAAAATGCATCTGCCAGATATGTTAATTTTAAGCCCTCAAAAGAAGCTCTTATAAAGACATTCACTATCAAATAGATTTCACAAATGAAGGCAAATATCACTTATATTTCCAATCTGACTCTCAAAGTCCATTACATATGGGTTGTACTTTTTAAAATAATTTATCACAACTAAAATTGTTGACTGATTTGTATAAATGCACCTTTTAAAAAAACTAATTGTCAAGATCTAACTGTAATTTAAAGAACTTGGATATCACCCACCAATTAGTGGTAATAACCAAGGAGCACGTCCAAATGAATTTGCCATATTAATACTTCGTAATCCTTTATGTGGGTTAAAAATATACCCTGCCAACCAGTTGGTTCCTTTATTTAGCACAGGTGTTCACTGTTGTACAATCGTTGTATAATCATGCAAAGATGTATTGCATTTATATATGTTGTGGAATATTTGTTTACCTATGTAAATATGTGTTACATATTTTTGTTGTGGAATATTTGTATAATTATAAATATATGTGTTGCATTTTTTATTATGTTAAGATGTACTGCTGTTTAACTCGCCTGCCTAAGGTACCTGATTGGTCTAATAAAAAGTTGAATGGCCAATACTGAGGAAGTATTGACAGAACTTTTGGGAAGGGAAAGTAAGTAGGAGGAAGAGTCTAGGCTCTAGAGAAAGAAAAGGAGGCAGGGAGACACCAGGGGCCAGCCAGCCAGAGAAGGAGGAATCGGGGAAATAGGACATACAGAATAAAATGAAAGAAAAGGCAAAAATGTAGATGAATAGGAACAGGTTAAATTAAGTTAAAAGAGCTAGTGGAACAAGCCTTATCTAAGGCCAAGCATTTGTAATTAATAATAAGTCTCTGTGTCTTTATTTGGGAAGCTTGTTAGCAGTCTAAAGAAAATGCCAACTACAGTTCACTATTTTTTAACTTTTGTACATTTTCTTCCCCAATATAGCATGTTGTAGAAAATGTAATCTTTTAATTGATATGTGCACTTTGTTCTAAGGCCATTCATTTTTGACTTGCATATTATATTATACTGCTTTCCAGGTGTTTATTCCTAAAAATAAATAAATATTCCATGACTACTCAAAAGAAATACAGAAATCAGACTATCTAAACTATTCCATAAAATTGTATTAGTCTTGACTTTCTGCAATATAATACATTGTTGAAATTTCTATAGTTGTCACCAAATTAAATGCTTTTACACATTATAGAATAAAGCTGAAACAACAACCTTTCATCACATTTCCCTAAAACAAAACTTCATGAGGTTAGCAGCAGGTAAAACTGGCTCCTTACTCAACCATAACAGCATTTTTTCCTTACCATGAGATACACTTTGTTCATGACAATTTATTGGGCAGAAGGTACCCAGTCCTAGGAATAATTCATGAACAATCAGAATTTTATTTTGTAACTTTATTTCCTATATGGTGGGATGGATTTAAAAATATGTATGCACTTAAGTTGTATCCAAACAGTTAAAGTAGAATCTTTTAAAGGTCTTTGTAAAGACTTTCTATAATCTATGATTATAAGTTATATAATAAATGTATTTTATATGAATAAAATACAAATGAATATATAAATCTAAAATGTATTATCTTCCGTTTCCTTTCCTGTATAGGATTTTAGTTGTGTGTGAGAACTTGGGTGGAATCCTGACAACCATCTAGCTACTATCTAGGAACCCTGGATGGAAAGCTAAATGTGCACCTTTAGTATTCCTTAGTATTACAACATGCACACAAGCTACAAATCCTCTATCAAACTACTTGATACACTCCTGTCTGTCTACTTGTTCCAACAACTTGTAACTGGCATACTTTCACTGCCTGAAACAAACTTATTGCACACAATAATAAACAACTTCCTCTAAACTGAAAAAATGCAGCGTATATTACATGTTTTTTTTTTCACTCTTCTTATTGGACTAATGTCACAGTTAATACTGTTCAAGAAGTTTACTGTTTATGTTTTTGGAGTTCAAAATGAAGAAGAGGAATTTCAGATTCCTGTCACAATAAAATCTTCATTTTTTACATCATATCAATCCACTAAAAAGTTGGCCCATTTAATTGAAGAAACACATTTTCATTCTGGTTTAACCTTGTATCAACAAGGGGGAAATATTAGTCATTAATATTAAAAACTAAAGAAAAACAAGTATGTTGTTGACATAATTTAGAACAATAAGATGTCTTCTTCCAAGGCTCAGTGAGTAAAGGTATTTATTTACCACCAATTCTGACAACTTGACCTTGATTCCAGGAACCACGTGACAGAAAGAAGAACTGACTCCAGCAAGTTTTTCACTGACTTACACATACACATGCATGTGAACATACACTTACAAAAACATACACTCACAAACACAAAATAAATTTAAAAATTACTTCCTTACTAAAAAAAACATGAATATGAAATTAGCATGAATTTGTTGTCTAAGAATTATTTGCATTTGTGTGACCAAGTGGGAATAATTAATGCTGTGTGTGACAGTTATGTGGTTTGATCTGCTGGGGGGCAGGGGGTTTGCAGTGAGACCAGGACCATTCCTGGGTACATGAACTGGCATTTTGGAGTCCATTCCCTATAGTGGGATACCTTGCTCAGCCTTGATCCAGTTGGCAGGACTTGTTCCTGCCTCAACTTGGTATGCCAGGCTTTTGTTGATTCCCCTCTGAAGAGTGGATGGGGTAGGGAAGGGGAGGAGGTGGAGAGAGCAAGAGAAGGGGAAGAAGGGGGAACTGGGGTTGCATGTAAAATGAAAAAAACAATTATAAAGAAGAAAGGTGGAGGGACTTAAGAAATAGTTCAGTAGTTAAGAGAAAAGTCTGCTCTTGCAGAGGACCCAGGTTCCTCTCCCAGCAACCATGATCGGGCCATTCATAGCCACTTGACACTCTAGATCCTCTGGTCTCTGGGAACATCAGCACTTGCATACACACACCCACATGTTCCATGTTCCAATGAGGAAGCAGTTTGGTGAAGTCTGCTAGTAGCAAAAGAAAAACAGTCATAAGCCAAGGCGATTTTAAAATATATCGGTGGAGTGCTAGATGGCTCAGCAGTTAACACCTGCTGCACTTCCAGAGGACCCCAGTTCAGTTCCAAGCACCCATGTCATGTGACTTACAACTGAGTGTAATTCCATTTCTAGGGGAACTGATGCCTCTGGCCTCCACTGGTGCCTGCATTCATGTGAACATAACTCACATGCAGACATAATCAGCTATGTATAATTAAAAATAAATGGAAACATCAGAGAGGCAGCTCCAGATGGGAGAATCTCCTCTAGCACCGTGTCTGCCTGCAGACCACCATGTCACACCGTGATTGTAATGGACTAAACCTCGGAACTGTAAGCCCCAATTAAAATGTTTTCCTGTATAAGAAAAAGATTAATGCTGTGTGCTTCCTCCTAATCTGTATAAGAATTAAAGCTAGAAATATGGTTACTTTACTTCCCCCATATAAACTAAGAAATATTTCTGAGCCTATAGACTACAATCACAACAAATCAAGGATACTGGAATACCTTATGTCCTCATGAGTTCAAAGTTCAAGGCTGGGCAGTATAGCAAGGTCCTCTCTCACAAAAACAAAATCAAAAAGAGGTACAATGGAAACAGCATAGGCTTCAGACTCAGAAAACTGTGATTTGAAATCCTGGTTCTATAAAAGCTGCCTCACTGAACTTCAGTTTATCCACTTGCAACAAATCATGCACATGGCTTTGGCAAAGAATAAAGAAGTCAAATGTAATAAGATATATTAAGGAGGGCTACAGTGACTGCTACAAAAATAATAACCAACAACTGCAGGTACTTTCTTTTCTTCCCTTTCATTAATCAGTTGTTTAGCTGCAAAAGATAACGTAAATGAAACAACCTTCAAATAGCAAGAGCATTGTTAGTATGTTCAAAGAGGTAGCAGCACTCAGGATAAAACCCTGACAAAATAATCTTCATACTCTAGAATCTGATGTCAAAGCAAATGATATTCTGAGGTTGGGGAGTAAGGAGAAAATTCACCTAATCCTCATGCCACATACAAAAAATAACTCAAAATGAGTCATGGAAGCACTTTTCGATGAGATGAAATCTTCTGGAAGTAGAACCAAGTAAAGAGATCTCAGACTAGATGCCAAAAACATAATATGCAGAAGGAAAAATGAGGAAATGGCAGCTGGTTAAAATTTGTAAGACCTTTCCATTGATACCTCTTAAATTTTTTTTTATAAAACCTGCTCTATGAAATATCCTGTTTAAAGACGATGAAAAGACAAATTACAGTTAAGGGGAAAGTGATTTTTAAACTACACAGTTAACAAAGAACAAATACCTAGAAAAAGAATTCTGGAAGTAACAACAGAAATATAAGGCACCATGTTGTTTTTAGGAATAGAACCTGGGCCCTCTGCAAGAACAGCAAGTGTTTATAACAGTGAGCCATCCCTTGAGCTGTCAGCCTGCTTTCTTATACCGCCCAGGACCAAATGCCCACGGGTGGCACTGGTCCCGGTGAGCTGGTCCCTCCTATATCAATCATTAATCAGCAAATGTCCCTGCAGGTTTACCTACAGGCCTAGTGGCATTTTCTCAATTGCAGTTGCCCCTCCCCAGATGACCATAGCTTGTATGAAGGTGACAGACTAACCAGCACAGCGTCACTGTAACATGGGATTTTTAAAAAGAAAAAAAAGGAAATGTATGACATTGTTAGATGTTGTTATTTTAAAACTAGAGAACAGTGAAAAGTATAGACAAAAAAGAGGGAAATCCAATGTATCAATTTTACTACAGCAATATCCTTGTTATCCAATTTTCCTGAAGAAATGTGAAAAGGGGAAAAGAGATATTCTTACTTAATGTTATGTAAATAATTTCCATACCTGGCATAACAAAATACTTCTACATGTTGAATTGTTTTGTCTCTGCTACTAAGAAGAATAGCTTCCTCATTTTCAAGTATTTGTTCTTGCCATGATGAATTTTCACTCACAACATCACTGTTTTCCTAAACAAAACACAGAAAAGGTATTTTAACTAAATTGAAAGATCTGAGCTTAAACTTTCCAAAAAAGACTTGCATCTCGTCTTAAATTCATGTATTTATTTTTTATCACAACAAAAGCCAATGCTTCAGAGTAACTGAATTGACTCCAATGGCATGCCAGCTTCAAAGAAGGCAGAGGAAAACTGCATAAAATCTTATCAAAAGCTAGCTTTGGTATACAGGTGTCAATGAGGTCCTGACTCTTAATCTTCTGTTCCATCGTCTGCATAGATCGTTAAGTTCTGATGTACAATATTATATGATATAGACACTCCATTTAGGGATAAGTATTTCAAAGTCTCTCAGGCTCTGCATGTTGTCCAGTGGAACACACACATTTTTATGCAATGATACTTAAACTATATCAATGTGACTTTATCACCCATGATTTTGTCCTCAGGAGACTTACTGCTGATAATACTCCATTAAATCAATGAAAGCAAGTACCATGCTTAGAGAGTAATGGAATGCTGTAAGTATGTAATAATTTTTAGCTAACTGAATATAGATTTCTGGAATATTATCATTCTCTATTCCCAACCTTCTCAGCTAATTTGAGAAACAGTACAGTCTGAGTTCATGTAAGATGTTCTCAGCATAAGTTACATTCAAGTCACATATACCCATATCTTTACAAAACATGTCTTATAAAAAATGTTAAACTATACAGTGTGACTAAATCTCCACACCACACAGCCACTTATCTCTAAAACTCTTCTTTATGATGGGTATTCAACAGTTGTAGTAACAAGAAGCTACCATAGGAAAAACAATTTCTGAACTTCAATTTTGTTTTCTTTCTTTTTCCTTTAACTGCCTCTGGCACATGACAGAAATAAACTTACAAACCAGAGAATATTCCAAATTAAATTTCTTTCTTCAAATAACTGATAGTACATTGTTTTTCTTTTCACACAGTAATACAAAGAATAACTAAAACTAGGTGAGATTTTACAACATCTGGTAAAATTTCTGTAAATGATTCAAAGGAAAAATCATATAGATATGATTAGCTAAAAAGGTACTTGTGTGTATTTTTGCCAAGTAAGTGAATGAAAATAAGGTATCTATCTCACATGACAGAAAAAGAAAACATCTCTTTAATAAGTGGACACAAGATACAACCTAGTGACTTACAATATCAGATAAGAATTTTACCTGGTATTCCTTTATCCAAGACAACAGTCCTGAAAAGCTGAAACTGGCCCAATTTCCTCCATAGTAGTTTCGTCTGTTAACAATGAAATACAAAGAACATGAAAAATCACATCACTGATATTTATAACCTAAGTCATGCCTGACCTTTAAACTTATACCATTTTCCAATATCACTGTCCTAAGTGTTCCAAATCACAGTAATTGAGCTGTTGAAATAAGAGAAAAGAGTAAGTGTAAGCAAATGGCTATTCTCAGATCTCAAAAGCAACTTTTCCTGGCATACCAGCTTAACTATTCTTTGCCCTCTACTGAGTTTTCTTCAGTGATCAGAGGGAAACTCAGTCTCAAAGCCCCAGAATAATGAATTCCAACATTGATCCACAGAATAGTTAAGTCACAATGCTGGGCACTGATGGAATGGTGTGTATAAGTTGATAACCTTTCAAAAATAAATTGCAGCTTCATAAAAAAGGTACAATTACCCAATGATCCAGCAATTGTATTCCTAAGTGATCATACAAGAGAAAAACATATTAATATAAAAATTTTTTTCATCACATTAAAGGCCCAAAGTGATAATATCTTCAATATGAAAATGGGTAAATAAGCTATGCCCATTGGATTTATACTTTATAGCAATATAAGAAGATAAAATAGTGACACAAACAATGACATAGATCAACCTCAAAACTTACTCTGAATGCAAGCCTAAGCCACAAAGAGTATATATTACATAATTCTATTTGCAGGACAGTTAAAAGCAAGCTAAATTAATCTATGATTAAAAAATCATAAGCGGGTACCTCAGAGAGGGAGTGGTAAGTTTTTAATTACATAGGTACATGCAATTTTAAGAACATATTTAAATGATATACTTAAAATCTGTACATTTCACAATATAGAAAACTTATCTTTGAAAAGAGGCAAAATTAAGTGTTTACTAGTAATGTTTATGCTAGCACCCTGAGTGACAGAAATTACCGATGTGTACAAATCAGTAAGACTGAAAGGTTCATGGATCCAAAGAATGAATATGTGGATGGTTATATGATATATAGAAACTACATCCAAATGGCAACTATTGAGCCTACATAGTTAACTCATAGGTGTTCACAATACGGTGGGTTTTTTTTCAAGTTTTCTGTATACTTGAAAATTATTACCATAAAATGTAGGAAAAATAGAAATAATCTCCTTTTGAGTACTAGCTACAATGTGTCCATTTTCAAGGTATTTTCACCTAATTATGAAAGGTCTAAGAAAACTGTAAGAAGAGTCATTCTGGTGTTTCTTTCCACTATTAAGTGACCTGAGGTCAGTTCCTGGTCAAAACCTAATTTTCTCCCCTGTACGTGGTCATATGTTATTTGACAGAACTAATTGTTCTAGTATTTTTCCATGCAGCTCCCATTTTCTACTTTTCCTGTTGATTTGTTGCTAACATAAACATCTGGTGATCTCATCCAATTATGTATGTAAAAGGTGAAACATGGTTTTCATTACTGTGGTCTTTCTGACAAAAGATGGCAAGACAATTATTAGTAAACTTACTATGAAAACAAAAGATTCTGACTAAACTCATTCTGATATCGCCATAGTTTTAAATGTGGTTTATGACATTACTTAAATAAAGACATTAGGTATTACTATCAAGAGAAATAGAAAAAATCAATATGACATTCCAAAAAGATCCATGAAACAAACTACAATAGATATGGTAGAAATTAAAGCTACAAAATGTTTTATCCTTAAAGATATGGTTTTAGAACTGTGACATTTCAATCCAATTTATAAAATGTTTTTCCATTATGTTTAAAACTGATTCTACAGGGGAAATAAAACTAGGTTGCTAGTTTGGGTTTTTAAACCTCGGAAACATGATTTAAAGACAAAGTGAAAATGAGAGAAAATAAGGGGGAAATCGTATGACACGTTGTCTGCCAACTTTGTGCCATCACTACCTCTGCACATCAAGTAAAAGAAGAAGCATTTGATTATGGAAAAGGAAGTACATTTCTGCTGTCAAGAACAGTTTCTGAAGATGAAAACGGGAGTCTGGGAAAACAGAAAGTATTCATGATATAAAAACAGGAAACATAAAACTAGAATCTAAAGCCCTCTAATGTCCCATTATAATGAAGTATCCTAAAGTCTTTACCAAAAAATAGAGAAAAATTATAATGAGGCATTTTTCTTTTACTTTAAGACAATCCCCATTCCATTATCATGTGAAATGATGATCTTAAAATTGCATAAAATATGGTTTTAATTTTTCTATAGTTTTATGACCTACTCCAAATGTTACCTAAGTTTTTCCAAATACAATGAAGAAATAGTTTCATCAACTGCATCAATTAACACAAATCAATAAATAAGAAAACACTGCTGACACAGTACTTCTAAATATTTCTTACACTTTCCATAGTGTTTATATCACTTTGCTTAATCTTATCCAAGAGAAAACAAATAACAAGTAGAGAAGATGAGCATTAAATATTTTAGTTAGGATCTACAAAAAAGCCCTCTTTCTTTCTATTTGGCACCATAATTATAATACTTTACTGACTAGTCAGCAGCTAGGACAGACACAAGATACTATATTATATACTATATTGTGAAATTGCTTACATAAACTAGTCCCAAAACACTAACAAAAGACAGAGCTACTTACATCCAAGCACATTCATCTGGGAATCATTTTCCTTAAGAAACCTATAGTTGAAAATACATTCAGAGAAGTAGGCAATAGGGTTTAAGATTACTCAGTGAGAAAGAGAACTGACCTAGCTAAGTTCTAATAGTACTTTCCTATGTCCCAATATCTTACAATTCTCTTCTTCCTAGGGGAAGACTAATAACATTTTCCTTTTCAGCATTTTACCTTTCCAAGTTTGTTTTCAGAAGTATCTTCTCTTAGATTTCCATCACTTTTTTTGTGAGAAAGGCACATGAGCCTAATGAAACTTGCTATCAGTCAAGACAGGACAATTCCAAATGAGGGAACTAATGTTCAAACTCAGTTCTTCCCAATGCTAATCCTGTACATGCCAACACACAAATTTGTAACTTTTAGACTAGAAAGCATTAGCTCTCAAGATAACAGTAGCTGTATACTGAGATAGAGCTTGCCTCTAAGTCTAAATTCTCCTTCTCCAAAGTGAAACCATGTTAATAGTTGTCTGGGGGGAGCATAATGACAAAATAAAAATGGAAAACGCTAGGTTCCAAAAAGTGAATAAGAAATGGTTTTCTAGTGTCATGGCTTGTCAACACCATTAACTATTACAAGTGACCAATGAGCACATTTTTGAGAAGGGATTTTGAATGAAAGAGGTTTAGCAGAACATAATTTGAAAAATATTAGCTGAATTCATATTAAGGGGAAAGAAAGCTACCTGCATTGAACTTGGCATTTTATATTCACATTTTCATTTAGACTTTATATACCCTGTCTAATTAATTCAGATAAGAAATAGTATATTTGGAACATGAGCCAGGGCATATCAAATCCAAAGCCTAACCTCTGCCTACTAAATATCACCTACTATAATCTATGGGTTTCAGATCTGTAAAATTACAAGCATAAGAAAACCTAGATTGACTTATAAGTAAAAGCAATGGTATCTGTTTACAAACTCCAGATAGTATAAAGTCTATTTTATTTTTCTTTGCGTAATAAAACCAGTACAATAACCTCAACAGAACTGGGGGGGGACTATTCATTTCTAGGACCTGAAATTTCATTGGATCTCTCAAGTTCAGAATGAACAAGTAGGAAAAAGAAAAGAATTATTGCCATATCTACTAGTATTGGTTTGCCAGTTAGAAATGAGTACAATATGCAATTTAAACAGTGCATCAAGCCTGCCTCCCTAGTACAGTAGATAGTGTGTTGATCTCATAAAAATGGTCAGTTCCATTTAATTTTGTTGGAATACTACAGTAATGACATGCCACTATCACCGTGTTAAAAAAAAACAGTAAGCCATAATTCTAGGACATAAACAATATTTTGGATTACCCTACACAAAGTTTCATTTAGTAAAAGTTCAAAACGTGCTACAGAAGGAAGCTGTAGTACTTCCATTATCCCCTACATTCTTAGACAATTATATTGGGCTTCCATGATAGACTCTGCAGATATAATTCTAATATGAGAGAAGACTATCAGGCCGTTTCTTCACTGTGGTGTTTTAAGTAGCAAAAAATGCATGTACTTATCATTATGACATGTTATGTTACTAAATGAGTCCTGTGAAGCTATAGGAGGTTCCTTTAAAACTCAAGTTAATCTTGTAGAAAGAAATAACCAGGTTACTTTTCCAGTCATTATGCTTAGTGAGAAACTTTTCTTATGTTTGCAGTCATTAGTTATTCTATATAAGCCCATCTAATCCAAGCTATTTAGGTAACAAGGCAGACCTATGAATACATGACAAACTGATCCTCAACTTGTATTTTCTCACGTGAGCTCATGTGTCCCCACTGATGAGTCACTTATCACTCCTTCACTGATAACTCATAAATAGGCATTCCAATATGGGCCCCTCAAAATTCAGATCTGAAAATGTAGATCATGTGCCGCCAGCTTATTGGACATCTCCCTTCATTAAACAGCCAGAATTCACTTTGAGTCTATATAATCAATAGGCAAAAATTGCTATTTGTCACTTAGCCCCAATTAAGTTTACTTCAAGGGTCAACTGTAATTAGTTTGTCAGACTTCTGTCCTTTCCAACCCTCCCTCTGTTGTCTTAGTTCAGGTATTCACTTACCATTGGTCTGTCTTATTGCATTAGTCTCACCAAAGATTTCCCTACCTCCAGCTTCTTCCCATTTTAATACAACCTCAACACTAACGCCACTGTGATCTGCTCTTCAGAGACTAAATTATGTATTTCTCAGGCTTAAATATGTCTAATGGCTCATTAACACTTCTGGAACCAAGTACAAAATCATTAAGGTCACAAAATGTTTCACAAATTACTACCAACTCAACTCTATAATCTTTTTTATTAATTAATTTTTTAGTTTATATCCCAAGTGCTTCCTCGCCTTCCATTCCCTCCCCCT